ATTCTTTACCTAATCTTAAACCAGAAGCTAATCTTGTGTAGTCCTTGTTCACACCGGAGCCATTCTCCCACAACTGCTTATGACGGATGGGTATTTCAAACCTAGTAAGGGCTGACTCTGGGCCGCTGCATTTCTGGTTCGAGTATGCTATGGACTGGAATATGGCTGTAATTCCAGCCTGAGGGGAGAACAAGCGTGTAGCTCAGGAGTGCCATCCCTCACTTCATGGATGTAGTAACCTACCCATGACCCACACAAAAAATGGGATGTTATATCCCACTTTGGAGTCCAATCTCACCTATTTGAGCTGGATGGGCCTCAGAGGAATATAGTACCTATTTATCTCTACATACCCAAATCCAGAGTAGGAGGGGGACCTGAGGGTAGAGTTTGCAAAGAGGCAATGAAAAAGGGGATTTCTACTGCTTTTACCACCCCGTACAACTGTACTATTTGGTGATAAGCAGCATGCTGCAAAAGTAATTCCTAAAACCCATAAATGTAATTGTTTCATGTAATGTGGGAGAAAAGTATAGTCTGATTTGCTGAAGTAGGATTTCAGTAGGCTTTGGACATTGCTCTAGTATAAGACAAAAGACATAGAAAAATGAACTGGGAGCATATGTAAATGGCCTTCATACTGCCCACATCCTACAGGAACTGCAAAGCTTATGCTAGGAAAGACGCCTCATGATAATATCAATGCACACGTAATAATTGAAAATCACATTTTTGATTAAGTGATTTTTCTGTTTCATTCTCAAGAGCTGCAGAGTAGATCCAACAAATATCCTCATTATATTCCTATGAGAAAAAGGTTTATACTTCACTATGTGAAAATAAAAATCAAACAAAATATCATCTAAAGTAGCCTTCAAGGGCACCTTAATGCTCAGGTCACAAAAACCTGTAAGTAACCTTAGAGATTTTTTTATTTTAAGCTATACCAAGCAATCTTCCTGTATTTTCTTTTACCTTTAAAAGTATTTTCTTCACCTCTGAAACCAGTAACCAGTACACCTTCTGTTTGAAGGCTCCCACTCTATTTCTGTTAGTGATTTTCTGTTTGTTTTGGCTTCAGGCAGAAAATTTCTTCAGTTCAACTGTACTCTACAGTCAAGACCTGGAAAGACAATACTTAATAGGGGCTTGAATAGAAAAAGTATTTCAGCATTTTACCCCAAAGAAATCCTCTTTCCTCCTTTTAAAATTGCAAACATTAATCTTGTTTAGAATTTCCTGGGCTAGATGGCAAAGTCCTTCCTGAACTGAGTATAAGTCTATTTCACACACAGAATTTTCTCATTAAAAGAGAAAAGGTCACAGAAACTGCATTACTGTCATATTGGAACTGTTTTGACATTCCAAGTGTATAGGGGTGTCACACATAGGAATGCTGATTAGTGTCTAATTGAACCCTGGTCTTCCTTGAGTCAATGGAAAATGTTATATCTAGAGCCAAACTAAGACTTCACAGCAACACATCATAGCTGAGCTTTCACGAGCTCTTCTGCTAACCTGTCCAACTTTGCACAGACACTTTGAGTACAAACATTGTAAGCTCCTATGTGACTTTCAGAAAGTGGTAAACCTCTTAAAGCACTAACGCTCTTCCTTGCGTGCATATCTAATCACCCCTGTGGTTCCTAACTAAAACAGCATGATCCAAGGATGAGATCTGATCGTAGCGGCTATACTTGCAAAGCTCAACAGTACTTCTTAAGCTAGTAGGTCCTCTCTTCTATTACTTAGGCTCTACAGACTAAAAAATTTTCTTCTGCCATTAAAGTCTCACAGTTACGGGTGTTAGTTTTCTATGTTATTGTTTATTTTAAGTGTCTTTTTCTGTAAAACACAACTTCTTTTGCATCTCAGAACTCCTTTAAAAAGTCTTTCACATCCTCCCAGGAATGTTCTGTGTGGACCAGATCAGGTAGTTCTTGCAGCAGCCTCTCCCTCCTTCTCTTGTTTAATCATATAAATCTTGTCTGCCCCTGCTGTGGACTGAGCCATCACAGTCTCTAAACTCTAAAAACTGTGTTTACAACTAAGGGTTTAGTTTGGTTGGCTTGGTGTTTTTTGGTTGCTGCTGCTTTTCTCAGATTCAAGGTACCAAACTTTGACAAATTCATGATTCAGCTTAAAATAGATCATTTAAGCTGAAGAGGAGCTTAATAACTTGAATGAAGAGGAGGCTTGAGTTTAAGTCAAAACTGCCTGAGGTCGCATGCTAAATATAGGGTAGGGGCTCTACGCTTCCCTGTATGCACAGAATTCTTAGTCTGATGAGCAAAGTCAGATGAGAAAAGTGAGCTGGTTCCTTAGATGACAAAGATTTTACGCTAAAATAAACATAACAGTGTAAAAACTGAAAATTACAAGCAGTTTCCTGGGAATGAAGGTGCTGGATCACAATTACCACAACAAGGTACAAGCCAGATGTAGAAGTGAATAAACTCATACTGTCAGGAGCTACCTAATCCCCACTGCCAGGTTCTACAAGAACAGGCACATGGAACCGCCGGGTGAGAAGTAAGGGCTTTTCCTATCTTTATGGCATGGGAACACAACCCTGTGACTGAAGAAAAGCAATGTCTTTAAGAACGGGAAAGGGCGGGGGGGGGGGAAGCAGGGAGGTGATGAGAAAGTGCAGGCTCTTTAGTCTGACAGCAGTTTTACAGTAGGTTTTAGACAAGTTTTAAGGACAGAGGAAAGAGAGACAGAGAGGAGACAGAATAGGATAACAAAGGAACCTTTTGTCAAATTAACCTTCCATCTATGTGTTATTAAACTATTTTTTCTCAACTTAGCATATGTAGAAGTTCTTCTCAGTTTGGGCTTGCATAACACATGTGATGTGGTAGGATCTGAGAAACCATCATTTATACCAGAGGAAATATCCTAAGAACTGTGAGGTACGCAAAGAACAGCAACATTTATGAAGGAATTGGACCAGAAGACAGCAACTATTCATGCTTCTCAAGAACCTTGCTTGGGACTGACCAGCCTTTTTTGTTTTATTATGTTAGCACAAAAAGCAGGACCACACTGACTGAATTTGATAGAACCACCAAGTCTGGAACCAGAGACTGTATGGTGGATGACTGCACAATTACACAGAGAAACTTTGAAAACCTCAAGGAGAATGGGAGGAAGTTTGATATCATTACAGAGGAAAAACTTGTTATAAAACAGGATCAAGGTCACCTAATAATAGGCATTTTCACTATGACTTAGGATGTAGTAAATTCTGTTGCAGATCTATACAAAGGAGCAGGCAGTGCATTTGAAAGTGCAAGGAAAATAAAATCTACTACTTTGTGAACAGATTC